TTTTGATGGTCCAGGCAGAGATCTTGGTAGAAGAGATTGAATAACACAACATCAAATCTGGCACAGGCTTGGACCTCATGACCCGACATGCCTGCGACATCCAGAAGGAAAAGGATTTTGACAGATACCAAAGACTGTGTACTAGATACGAGCTCAGCCTGGAGCTTTTAAGCTTCAAAAATCACTGTAAATGTAGCATAAAAGTAGACCATACGACTCAAGCACTATAAAACCGACTCATGCTGGCTTTGTGAATTGGATCAAACAATTCACACAAAAGATCCAACTCAAAAAAAGGGTTCATTATCAAACTAGACATTACTAAGTCTCATATGAACTCTCAAGGTGAGCTATGGCAGGATTTTCAGTGAATAATGGCTTTAATTTTGGCCTATTTTGTTGTTTGGCTTCAGAATATAATGCATGAGTCATATGGACTACTTATATGACCAACTTTTTGGTTCTTCTTTGTCATTTTAGAGCTTGACAGCCCTAGATTCTATTCTTACCTAGAAGGAAGAAAGTCATGCAGGTTAGGAACAATATAAGGGCGAGTTAATGACGACTTTTAGGTGAACTACTTCAAATCACAGTATTAACCAGGCCATGACACAGCCATCCCACTGCCCTCCAAGAGATTACATCTTACTCTTGTTATGCCCTGGCAGGGCCGGTGTAATATTTTGGTAACCTTAGGCATTTAATGAGCCTGGTTGCAACAAGTCACGTAAGCTTCCCAAGAGTCGTCCATCGTCCACTGACAGGTGTTGCAGGACATTCGGCCTCTCCATCAGCCGGTAGGTAAGTAGTCTGAAGAATTGACATCTGCTGGGACAGTTATGCCTGCCTAGGGTGTTGCATTAAGATTCAGAATAAAAAAAATATGTACACTACTGTTCAGAAGTTTGAGGTTGGTGAGACTTTTGCTCACCAAGGCAGCATTTGTTTGATCAAAACTACAGTAATATTGTGAAATATTATTATAATTTAAAATAACTGTTTTCTATTTTAATGCATTTTAAAATGTAATTTATTCCTGTTATGGCAAAGCTGAATTTTCAGCATCATTACTCCAGTCTTCAGTGTCACATTCAGTTTCTTTCAGAAATCATTCTGATATGCTGATTTGGTGCTCAAGAAACATTTCTTGTGATTATCGGTATTGAAAACAGTAGTGCTACTTAATATTTTTGTGGAAACCCTGATTTTCAGGACTCTTCAATAAATAAAAAGTTCAAAAGAAAAGTGTTTATGTGAAACATACATTTTTTGTTACATTATACAGTACATGTATTTACTCTAATTTTCGATCAGTTTAATGCATCCTTGAAGAATAAAAATATTAATTTCTTTCAAAAAATAAAAATAAAAATCTTACTGACCCCAAACAGCAGTTTACAATAAACGGAGCTGGTCATTCTGTATGGCACTGGCAAGATCAGTACACATATCTGGGACTGAGTGAGAAAGGTCATCAACTTATGGCCTTTAATACATAGGGGTATTTATTTATTTTTTAAGTTAGTCCCTCCCTGGCAGAAGAACTGACTGTGTTGGTAAAAATAAAATAGGCCTTTTAATGGTTAGGTCACATCTATAGGTTTTACTTTCAGCGCAAATGGATGTAAGTCGATAGGTCACTGCTGAGTTCACAGTGTACCTTTATTATGTATTTAGTGGAGGATGTCTTTAAAAGGAGATTTGATTAATAGTGAGAGTGGCAGTTTAAGTGGTAGATGGGTAAGTGTTGAGATAAGAAATAAGATAGGAAGAGGAGGACGACTGATATGTGTGCAAGGAGCAAGAAAGCATATATAGAGGTTATAGTGGAAAAGAACTTGATTAAATCTATGATAAATGAACATCTAGTACCTGAATGTGAACAAATTAAAGTGCCCCTATTATGGATTTTTGAAAATTACCTTTCATGCAGTGTGTAACACAGCTCTAAGTGAATGAAAACATCCTGCAAAATTTTAAATCTGAAAGTGCACCGTGTATAAAGTTATTGTCTCTCAAAAGAAAGAGTCGACTCTGAATCATTGAAACGAGTCGTTCTTAAAACGAATCCCAAGCCGTTTCATATTGACGTCACATTAAAAATTTGCATATTGCCCACCCACTTGGTCTTTTCGCGTTGGTCTGAATGAAAATGCAAATTCATTCTTTGCCACTAGGTGCAGCGTTTGGAGTGTAAAAATAGCGGTTTTCCCGGTAACACTGTACACAAAGCAGCACTGGCTCACAAACGCTTCTTTATCAGGCATTACAGGCATTATGAAATGAAAATGAGACCAATCAGACCAATCACGCAGATTAGCGTCACGCAAAGGAGGGGTTTGGAAAAATGAATCGTTGAGCGAATCGTTTGGGAGTCGTTGCGCAAGTAAGGTAAAAATTAATGCATATTATAAGACAATTAAATTGTTTTTTGACCTTGCATGCATGTCAACCTGTAGTTGGGGACTCCCAAAACCTAAATATGAACCTTTCATTAGCCATAATAGGGGCACTTTAAGTCTTTATTGGAGCAGGTCAGTTCAATCGGCGGCCATCTTGGTTGTGCTATTTTCTAGGCATGCTAATACAGCTTCTATGTACCTGATTGGGGAGAGACAGAATGTCCAAGTGACATATTTTGTCATACATTTGGTTTCTTTAGCTCAAATTATACTGAAAAACTCCTTTACATTCACATTAGCTAGCCCAGCTAATGCTAGTAAAAAACAAAACAAAACAAAAAGGCTTTTTCAAAAAAGCTCTTTTAACTGAAAGGAAGACTTCCATTCCCATAGCTGTTCTACTGAGTGATTTCTCATGCTATACTGATATGTCTATCAAAAAAATTTAAATATATGACAAAGTATATTAGAAATTGTAATATTTTCACCCAGTTATAACAATGAAATCCATTTTACGCTAACACAAGAGATTCTAGGTGGATATACCGTATGAATGTTTAGTCATTTCCTTCTTCAGTAAGACTCAGTCATAACTTTGAAAATCAGAGAAAGCATTCAAGTGATGTGTTCTAGAACCTGGGTGAGGATGGTATCTAAGACATCACTATTGTAGTCCACATGCTCAATATGAAGAGAGGGAATGAAAGACACCAGCAGACGACTCAGGTTCAGACGCAGTGTCCTCAGTTTGGAGCTGTCATCTTTCTCTTCCTTTCCTTTCTGGCTGTGTTCCCTGAGCTCTGACAGTTGACTCCTCAGATGATGACAGAGCGCAGAAAGCCTGCTCTTCTCTTCTTCTACACTCTCCAGCTAGACACAGCACAGACACAATTGAATACTTTTTATTCAAACATGCTTAAATAGTTGCTTAATGGCCAAATGTCAACATATCCAACCCTAAACAGTGTTGCTATTAACACCTAAAACTAAAGCTACTAAAATAGTTTTTGTTCAAGGAAGTAAAGCAGAAATAAAATATAATATATTTTTCAACTTGTGCGGAAGACACGATTGAGGCGAATATCGCGTGTTCGCGGCAATCGTGACGCCCAATTCGGGTCATTCGCGTCTTTGCATTAACTTTGTTAAAATACAAATAAAATCTACTCCCGCAAATAATTAAATTCGCTTTTGGTGTGCACACCATAAAAATAAAATAAATCTAAAATGAAATCTACTGTAAATAGAAGTATTTAAACAAATAAAAATGGTAAAAGCAGATAAACAAAATTACTAAAACGTACAGAAAATTGAAAATATAAAAGTAGTATATAAATAACACTAAAACAAGTCTCTCTATTGTTTACCCATTTGCAAACTTTTTGAATAATGAAAAGTAACTCGAATAATATAGGTAACATTTTACAACTAGTGTGTCAAAAACTAAAACTGAACTAAAACTAAAAATAAATTAAACCTAAAGAGTAACATAAAAAAAAAAACCACAAAAGCACATGATAAAATAATTTTAAAAATAAAAATAAATTAAACCTAAATACTAATATTTAAAAAATCACATTATAAAATTACTAAACATTAAAATAAAATTTAAAATATATAATAATAAAAGACATCCGTTACATTAATGCACTATGAACTAACATAAACAAACAATGAATAATCTTATTTTTCTAAACTAACATTAACAAAGGTTAATAAATGGTTAATAAATGCTTTATATATAGCTATATATATATTGTTCACATATATTGTTTGTGGTTACTTCATGTTAACTAATGCATTAACTAATGTTAACAAATGAGACCTTATTGTAAAATGTTATCACAACTTCTAATAATAATTGAGGGTAGTGAAAAGAAACGTCTTACTAACAAACGTCCCAAAGCTCAAATCGATCCCCTCTGCCTCCTACCCTGCTGATGAGCTGGTTCCTTTCGTCCTCCAGGGCGGCGCTGTGCTCTCTAAGCCCGCAAGTTCCTGACGGCAAGCGTCTCTCTCCTCCGGCGTCTCGTTCATCAGCTCCATTAGCTCATCCTGCCACTGTTGCACCTCTGCCAAGTTACATTCCTCTTCCTCCTGCTCTTCTTCATCATCAACATGACCTTCATGATGCACCACCCCTTTCTTCTCATTTTTGAGGGGCAATTCAATTATCTGCTCCGCAGCTGAGCTGTATTCCCTCCCTGTCCCAGATGATGCATCTCTTTCACATGTCTCTTCTGCAGCGGCGGGCCCCTGATGCGACTCAATTCCTTCCATCATGCCACACGCGGCTTTGTTCAAGAGTGTGTCGGATTGAGTGAGAGGCTTTCTGTCCTCATTCAAAGCAGGCCAGTGTGTCTGAGAGGAGCGCTCTTGTGGTGGGGTGAGAGAGAGGACAGGAAAGGATGGCGTCACCTCCATCTGTGTTTCTGTGGCAGAAAACTTCTGTTTTGCTCTAGAAATAGTGAAATAAAACAAACAAACCTGAAATAAATGTTATATAAAACCTGTTTCTATAGAAATACAAATGAACAAACACCAGTTATATTATTCCTATACCTTCTTAGAGAGTTAAAGACAGTAGTCAGGTTAATGAGGGGCAATGGAGACTTCTCAGCTAAAGACAGTCCTATGAAAATAAATAAATAATCTTTCAAAATATATGGTAGTGCAACATGAAATGAATACCTAAAGGAATAGTTCACCTACAAATGAAAATTCTCTCATCTCATTCCAAAATTATGCATTGTGTTACTCTGTGGATGTGTGTATATTTAAAAAAATGTTGTTGTTTTTTTGGTTCATAAAATGAAAGTCGGTGGGGTTTAATGTTGTTGACTTTTACTGTAGGGACAAAAACAGTAGAAACATTCTTAAAATATCTTCTTTTGTAGAGGGAAGAAAGTCCTTTCATGTTATGAATGAGTCCTCTCATGTGGATGAGTAATTGATGACAGAATTCAAATTTTTGTGTGGACTATCCCTTTAAGGCTTGAATGAAGTGTGAGATTTTAAAAGAAGAATTGAATTTACATTTAAAACATGTTACACTACCATTCAAACATTTGGGGTCAGTAAGATTTTTTTTTTTTTTAAAGATAATCTTATTTATTAATTTTATTATTAATTTCATTTAATAAAATATACATTAAATTGATCAAAAGTAACAATATAGACATTTATAATGTTACAAAAGACTTCTATTTCATATAAATGCTGTTCTTTTGAACTTCATCATAGAATCCTTAAAAAAGTATCACAGTTTCCACTAAAATATTAAGCGACTGTTTCTTGAGCACCAAATCAGCATATTAGAATGAGTTCTCAAGGATCATGTGACACTGAAGTTACTTATTTAACTATTTTTGATCAAATAAATGCAACCTCAGAGAGCACAAGAGACGTATTCGAAAATCTTTAACAAATCTTTATTGACCTCAAATTTTGTATTGAAAATTTTTTTTTTTTTTTTTTTATAATTAAATGTGAAAAGGTACATTTACACAAGTTTATTTTTCACATACTTAACCCAAATGCAAAAAAACACCATCACATGCTCAAATTTAGCATTTTTCAAAATGTGACCTTCAGTGTTTATTCTCCAAAACGACTGAGGAAAATACTAGACACACACTGACTGTCATGAAAAGTTTCAGGGGTCTCTAATGAGGCATTTCATTAACACAACCAAAAGCCACATCAGAGCCTCTGAAACCACGCAGTAAGGTGGGTCTAAGCTATTTTAGTACAGCTTTTATGTGGCATTGCATCTTTCCCAGACATAACAGAGCCTGGTGGATGTCTGGGTGCCCGAGTGGTTATTAACGCTGGTCGCTCTTGAGTCTGTGTGCTCTGAAAGGAGAACACAAGATTCTGGTATTGCTTTTTGGTGAATAATCAGTTTACAATGGCTTTTACAAATGTTGATTCATTAGCATTTGCTACTTGGTTCCCTAGTTGAGTAGGTTGTAAATGTTCTTACATCTGGAACGTTCTCCTCAAGGAGACTCTTTGTATTTCTCCTCCTGAATAAATACAGAATGTGACAAATATCATAACGGTTCTGGTATTCTTAATAACATCATGAAACTATCAGTAACAGTGACATAACTTACTGGCGTTTAAAGGGTTTAGGGTACGACTTCTGATCTTCCTCCTAATCCTCTAGTTCTTCCTCAACCAAGCAGCTCCTGTGTAGAGCTCAGAGTAAGGTGACAATAAAACTAACAATACGCATGTTGAGAAACCCAGCAAGGAGGTAGGCATAACAAAACAAAGCTTCAAATCGTATGGGGCTCAACTGAAAATACTGAATCCAATGACCTAGAAGCAATGGCAGTTCTTCTTTCCATCTGTTGAACGCAAATATTTGGCTTCCTTTGGGTTCCTTTAACCTTCATACATCTCAGATATCTCAGACCCACTGAAACCCCTCCTTTTCACTCATGATATCATGGCATAACTATTTTGTTTGCCGTCACCTGAACTGTGGGTCATAGTTCATGCTGCAGAACCATTTATCCAGCAGCTCAATGATGGCATCTGGAAGCCTCCTCCACTTCAGGCAGCCGTCACACTGAACCCACACTTGATCTGAAACTTTCCTTTCAGAAGAAGACACAGGTAAGATTATGAAATATTAAAGGGATAGTCCAGCTAAAAGTGAAAATTCTGGGAAAAAAAAATTTCCTCACCCTCATATTTTTCCAAAACCTAGACTTTTTTCATCCAAGGAACAGAAAAGGAGAAACTTTGAAAAATGTGGTTTACAATGGATGCAGACAGGAGCATTCAAGCTTCAGAAAACACACAAATCACCAAAGATTATGAAATGAATGCATGTGCCTACTATATTCTTTGCGTGAGAATTTTGAATAAATCAGTTGATCCGGTTCACAAAACTGGTCTGAATGATTCATTCACAAATCACTTCATACCTACAGATCACTTGATGAACAAACCAAGTAGAGCTATGCTGGATGTGACCATTTTCAATGTACAATTACTTACATTTTGGCCTGTATTGTTGCCAAAGGTCACTGTGCAATTTTTAAATATTTGTAATTCAAAGCGTATGGCCCACTTTTTTTCTTTTTCTTTTTGCACCTTAAAAGCTAGTATTATTTCCATTTAGCTTTCATTCATTTCAGTTTTAGTTTTACTAATTTTAATACCTAAACATTTATTTCAGTTAGTTGCCATGGCAACATTTTAAATTTTCATTTATGTCTTTCATCTAATATTTCTATTTTATTTTAATTCTGCGTTATTTTAATTACTGAAAATGATTTTTAATAGTTTTAGTTAATAGCAACAGCACTGCTTTTGTGTTCCATAGAGAAAGTCACTCAGTGTTGGGGAAAGTGACTTTTAAAAGTAATGCATTACAATATTGTGCTACTCCATAAAAAGTAACTAATTGCATTACATAGTTACTTTTTATGGAAAGTAATGTATTATGTTACTTTTGCTTTACTTTTTGTCACCTGGGCTGGGCTTGCTCATTTGCTTTTTTTAATAAAAAAGTTTTTAATAAAAGTTATATTTTTGAAATTGTTAAAGGGGTCATATGATGCGATTTCAAGTTTTCCTTTCTCTTTGGAGTGTTACAAGCTGTTCGTAAATAGATAAGATCCCTAAAGTTGCAAAGACTAAAGTCTCAAACCCAAAGAGATATTCTTTATAAAAGTTAAGACTGGTCCACGCCCTCCTAAAACGCCTTGTTTAAACACGCCCCCACATGTCTACGTCACTGTGTGGGAAGATTTGCATACCGTCACCCAAATGTACACGCAAAGAAAGAAGGCGTAACTTTACACCGATGAGCTTTGTAAAAATCGACACGTTTCAAAAAGGCGGGGCATAGAGGAGAAACAATAATGTGCAGTATGTGGAAAATGTGTTTTTTTAACCTTAAACCGCATAAACACATTTCACTACACCAAATACACAAAATAATGTTCTTTTTAGCAACATCATATGACCCCTTTAAGGCCCTTACACACCAAAAGTGTGAAAATAATAAGCCTCGGGCTGAAGTAAGTGCCTCTGCATGTCACTCCCAATTACTGTCAACATGGGAACAGGAGAGGTGTCAGTAAATAAGTGGGAAAACAAAGTAACATTCGTTACTTATTTGAAAAAGTAACTCAGATATTGTCTTAAATTTAAATGTAATGCATTACTTGACTAATTACTTGAAAAGTAATCTGATTACGTAACTCGAGTTACTTGTAACGCTATTGGGGATTGGAACAACATAAGGGTGAATAAATGATGACAGTTTTTATTTTTGAGTGAACTATTCCTTTAAATTAGCTAGAAATGTCCTTTAAACCCTGTGATTTTTTTGGTTACTGACAGGTTATTGACGGCAATACTCACAACACATCCTCTATTGGTACTGTGCACTTTGGGTCCTCTTTCTTTCATTTGTAGCAGGTTTCGTTCCAATACTCCTCCAGCTTTATGCTGAGGTTGTGCATGATCTTCCTGTACAAAATAGTGCCTTTCCATCAAAGTAACCTAAGGGCATCATTTGGGGTAAATACCAGCAGAGTGATAAACAGCGTTTATCTGAGCGTCATCAAAGTCTTGTTTGTTGTGAGTGGGCTGAAGGAAATTGCACTCTATAACACCAATAAAGCCCACACCTTGTCTTTCAGCCTGTTATAAACACAAACCATGGCTTTCAGTATTGAATTTATGGGTAAAGGAAGCAGAAGAAACATGCAATCATTTCTGGTTATCTTACATTGGCAGCTCACATATGGCTTTATTGGCCTGTTCTTATGGTACATCATAATCCCATAATGCTCTTTGTTTTTGGTATTGTATCCGAAAGTGATGCGTACACACTTGTTCTGAGCCCTGAGTTAAGAAATGTTGAGACGGTAATAATGTTATATGTGACCCTGGACCACAAAACCAGTCTTAAGTCGCTGGGGTATATTTGTAGCAATAGCCAAAAAAAACATTGTATGGGTCAAAATGATAGATTTTTCTTTTATGCCAAAAAGCATTAGGCTATTAAGTAAAGATCATGTTCCATGAAGATATTTTGTAAATTTCCTACCGTAAATATATCGAAACTTAATTTTTGATTAGTAATATGCATCGCTAAGAACTTCATTTGGACAACTTTAAAGGCGATTTTCTCAATATTTAGATTTTTTTACACCCTCAGATTCCAGATTTTCAAATAGTTGTATCTCGGCCACATATTGTCATATCCTAACAAACCATACATCAATGGAAAGCTTATTTATTCAGCTTTCAGAAGATGTATAATTGGTAAAAACATTTACCCTTATGACCGGTTTTGTGGTCCAGGCCAGGGTCACATATGTGTGTGCACTCCAAAAAACAGTATATTTTGTAAGGATACAAGGAATGAGGGTCTGTAGTTGTCCTGCGCAATATGAGCCAGACTTTTGGATATCAGTTGACTCTTCACTCTTTGCCCTCGAATAATGATTTGCATGTGAGGCTTCAGGTATAAGATGCTACAGTATGCCTACAAATACAAAAACATGAACCAATATTCCTCCTAACCCATCACCAAACAGTCCTCCAATTTACATATTTGCCTCTTTTAGTAAAAACAAAGATACGATAATGTAGATCTCTACTAATGTTTGCATATCATACATATATCTCCATGCCACATTCTTGCTCATCCATAAGGAGTATTCACTTTCTGGGGTCATGTTGCTCTTGTCACTGATGTTCGCCCTGATCAGAATGTCATACTTATCTGTGTCAAAGTCAAATTCAGTCTCGACATTTGTGGTCCTGAAAAACACACAATTTACAAACTAGCTACTGTTTAAAAGTTTGGGGTCAGTACGATTTTTTTATATTTTTGAAAAAAGTCTCTCATCCTCAACACTGTTGAAAAAAACTTTTTGCCTCACAATACTGACTTTTTTGTCACACTTCTGAGTTTACATCTCACAAATTTGTTTGTTTTTGTTTTCATTATGGAATTTTACAAAAAAAATTAAATGGGTAATTGTGACTTTATATCTCATAATTCAGACTTTTCTTCTCAGAATTGCAGTGTATAACTATGTAGTTATAAACTTGCAATTGCGAGTTCATATCTTGCAGTTCTACATTTATTTCTCGCAGTTCTGACTTTTTTCTCAGAATTGCAAGAAACAAAGTATGAATTGTGAGATACACTCTCATTTAAAAAAAATAATAGTTATGATAAACAAAGTTGCATTTTTTTTTAATTCTGTGGCAGAAACGGGCTTTCATAGCTCAACAAGGCTGCAGTAATTTGATCCGAAAATACAGCAAAAACAGTACTACTGAGATATTATTGCAATTTAAAGTAACTGTTTCCTATTTTAATATATAATGGAATTTATTCCTGTGATGGTGAAGCTGAATTTTCAGCATAATCAGCATCCAGTCTTCAGTGTTACACGATCCTTCAGAAATCATTCTAATATGCTGATTTGCTACTCAATGAACATTTTTATTAATGGTAAAAACAGCTGTACTGCTTAATATTTTTGTGAAATTCATAAGAAACTTTTGTGAGACATCTCTGAAAGTTTACAGCAATTATTTGAAAGAGAAATATTCTGTAACACTATAAATGTCTTTAATGTCACTTTTGATCAACGTAATGAATCTTTTCTGAATAAAAGTTTTAAATACTTTAAAAAAAAAGTCAGTCATTTAATCCATCCATTTCTGTAAGTATTTTCTTAATTAATACTTTTCAGCAAAGATGCATTAAATTGATCAAAAGTGACGGTAAAGACTAATAAAAATATACAAAGTATTTCTATTTCAAATAAATACTGTTTTAAACTTTCTTTTTATCAAAGAATCCTGAAAACAATGTGTCACGGTTTTTAAAAATATGAAGCAGCACAACTGTTTTTAATAATAATAATTCGAAATGTTTCTTGAGCAGCAAATCAGCATATTAGAATGATTTCTGAAGGATCATGCAACACTGAAGACTGGAGTAATGATGCTGGAAATTCAGCTTTGACATCAAAGAAATAAATTACATTTCAAAATATTTTAATATGGAAAACAATTATTTTTAATTGTGATAATATGTTGATACATTTTGATCACATAAATGCAGAGCACAAGAGATTTCTTTGAAAAACTTTTAAAATATTGTACCAACCCTAAACTTTTGAACAGTACATCCACAGCAGTATATCACACATCTGATCATATACTTTCATTAAGAGATTACTTAACCTGGTCGAAAGTTTACACTAATAAGCAGCTGCATTCATTCACAGCATGATAAGTATAGTGATTACAAGAAGCCAATTAGGTGTCCTTAATTATTCTGGCAGTGGGCCCCAGCACTCCAGTGTTGGTTTAATGTTATAGGCTTTTAGTGCTAATGTCATAAGACCACTGTGAATCCCTTGAATTAACTGAATAAGAGTTCTTAATTCTCTCGCAATTATAGCAACCAGTAATTACAAGTCCATTTCACACACTTTTTACTTGCTGTACTTAAAATGAATAATAAATTAGCTTAAGTGAATGGACAGCCTGTAGTGCTTTGTACCTGAGCATCTTATGTAGTCTGGCTCTTGTCAAACCCTCCCCGTTATCCATAAACGAGAGGCAGTGGAGTCCTCTGATGCATGTCCAGTCTATCCAGATCTGTCTGGCACGAACATCTGGGTCATAAGCATTATCTGCGACACAATTCACAGATCACAATATAAAGAATATTTCATCTGACTGGAACATCTAATGAACTGTTTCGAAATATGCCAACACCATAATGAGAAACCCAAAATTTAAATCTAAATGTGTTTTATCATATAAGTTGACATAAGAGAGGTTTAGACAACTCACCGATCAGCTCAGCTATAGCACTGAATAGCCAGGTGTGACTCGTGGAATTAGCATGAAGAAATTTTGGACTGATCGGCATAAAGAAAATAGGATGCTGATTAGAATAATGCTAAAAATTGTATTTAAGAGTATGTCATTGCACGCATTTTGCTAATTATTTAACATGAATCTTGCGATTACTACACTGATTTTTCAAAGTTGTAAAATAAAGTATAAAGATTACTGTACATTTTACTTTGTACTTCATAATGTCATGTTTAGTTCAATATGTTACTTGCCATTCTTTGTAATTATTTGTGAAATTTACTAGCAATTTCTGAGTCAACATAATTTCTACACCATTTTTTCAGTGTTTTATTTCAGTGTATTTGTATAGTTTTAAATTATGGATATTGTCATAGAATTCGATTTTTTTAGATAAAATATTATAAATAATTATTTTTTAAAATGTTGTAACAAAATATATCAAATTACAATAAAAATGCAAAAATTTAAAAATATAACAACATTGTTTAAAAAATACAAGCTTAAAAGCATTGCATTCTTTCACCTTTTTGAATCCAAGAAATAACCGGAGAACATAAACTACAACAAAACTGATAAATGCATGTTACTTACTGTGCTCAGAGGAATGCCACGTTTTCCATTTGCCATTTTTTGCTGAAAGATCTATGTTAGATATTGAAGAAAGCTGCAGAGAAGGGTTTGTTAACTTACTGAGGACCTTTTGATGTCTGTGTGCAGATATAGCGCACACCCTGCTCTCACACTCCAGCTATGCACCCGCTGAGACTTCTAAAAGGGTTCCTCACATATTGTTGCGAGCAATAAATGCTGGTACGAATGTGTAACCTGACACATCTTTATTTACTTCTTGGAAATGAAGCATTTATTTAAGCAGGTACTTTAAATATCAGTGTATATACTGTACTGCAGACATGGCGAGGATGCTGGATATTCAGTGGCCTCTTCCAAAACCAGTGCTTTCTTCCCAACTCTGCAGACATTCATCAAATGCATTTCAAGAAGAAGCAATACAACTAGGTGAGAAATATCATGGAATTTTATTTTTGTAATTCAGTTTACATTTTTATCAGTATTACTTATAGGTACAACACTCAACAGTTTGAACCCAACAAGATGACTGTTACAATTAACTGAGCAAAATTAATTATGAATTTAGGATTAATTGATGTATTTAATGTTTGTATTTGTGCATTTTGCATCTTCAAATATTTAACACACAAGGAGGAGTTCTAAACTATAGGTCTCGATCTTAAAGGCATAGTTCACTGAATTATGAAAATTTGCTAAAGATGTACTCACCTTCAGGCCATCCAAAAATGTAGGCGAGTTTGTTTCTTCATCAGAAGATTTGGAGAAATGTATCATTACATCACTTGCTCACCAATGGAGCCTCTATAGTGAATGGGTGCCGTCAGAATGAGAGTCCAAACATCACAATAATCCTCCAGTAATGCACATGACTCCAGTCCATCAATTCTTGATGAATCTTGAAAAGCTACATGTTTGTAACAAACATAAAGCTGTTGGACTCTCATCATGACGGCACCCATTCACTGCAGAGGATTCATTGGGGAGTAAGTGATGCAATGCTAAATTTCTCCAAATCTGTTCCAATGAAGAAACAAACTCACCAACAACTTGGATGACCTCAGGTTGAGTACATTTTCTGCAATTTTCCACTTTTTTGGTGAACTATTCCTTTAAGACCACATAATTTTTGGTTGTTAACTGATATTCAGTTTGTCAATTCACCAAAACTTTGATCAAATGTTAAAGCTTTTTGTGTAATATTTACAAAAATGAAGTACACAATGCCTATTGTAACTTTTTGGAATACCTGAAGTCTTCTGTCAAGGGTTCAGTCTGAATTCAGCCCAAAACTTTCTAGAAATCGCCTGTCTAAATCTTGATGGTTCACTCTGGTGTGTCTGAACTTGCTTTGCAACACAAACACACACGATTACTCTTTCTAGCTCTCACCATGGCTGCACTTTCTTCTCTGAAACAAACTGCCCATGGGGCTCTTTAGCCCCAGCAGGCAGCAATGCCAAGTACACTGGAGTGACAGCGCCCTCATCCGGTGACTTGGTTGCATTTGGTCCAGCCATGTCAGTCCTGACCCATCCTGGACAGCAGGCATTGCATAGGATCTCATCTCCAGACCTCTCTTTTGTCAGATTTCGGGCCAGGATTCTAGTCAGGGTGGTGAGGCCAGTTTTGGAGACCCCATATGCAGTGCTAGGCCAACCTTGCTCTGCGTGACGCCCATCCTGAGTGTCACGGACAAATCGCTCCATCAACCCAACTAGCTCTTCCTCTGTAATGTCATCGCTTCGGAAACGGGCCTGGAGTTCTGGACTGCAGCGGCTTAAAGCCACCGAGCCCATTACGCTGGAGACATTCACCATCCGACCTAGAAAGAAAGATGAGTGTTTGAGGGAAGAAAATCACCAGACAAGCAGGTTCTGCAAGGTATAACTGACATGACTTACCTCCTGGTTTGACAATGGGCAGGAACACATTGCACATATCTCTAGTAGCAAAGAAATTAGTCTTCAACGTCACATCTGCTTGGATGCCAAAGGGGGTCGTGTCTGCCACTGCCATGAAGAAATAAAGCATTGTTAATGTTTTTATTTCACATAACACAGTAGATTAATTTATGACAGCATCTTAACACTTCTTGTGGTCTTTTTGTGATTTTGTGGGACTTGCTATATGAACACAAAAAGCATGGATGTGACTAGAAAAAGCCACCATTTGAAATGAATGGAAAATGCAAAAACATACTAAATACGGAGCCATTTTTAGGGGTACAATCTAAAAATCTGCTAAAATCAAGTAGTTTTTTGATCATGTTTAAATATATATATACAAATGCAAGCCTAATAAAATGAAGAAATTACATCTGAAAATATTCTTATAAGTAACTAGGCAATACACATATGTGACCCTGAACAACAAAACCAGTCACAAGTCGCTGGGGTATATTTGTAGCAATAGCCAACAATATATTGTATGGGTCAAAATGATCAATTTTTCTTTTATGCCAAAAATCATTAGGATATTAAGCAAAGATATTTTGTAAATGTCCTACCATAAATATATCAAAACGTAATTTTTGATTAGTAATATGCATTGCTAAGAACTTCATTTGGACAACTTTAAAGGTGATTTTCTCAATATTTTGATTTTTTTTTTGCACCCTCAGATTCCAGATTTTCAAATAGTTGTATCTCGGCCAAATATTGTCCTATCCTAACAAACCATACATCAATGGAAAGCTTATTTATTATTTATTCAGATGATGTATAAATCTTAATTTAAAAAAACTGACACTTATGACTGGTTTTGTGGTCCAGGGTCACATATTTGTAGGGATATTTATATATTATTCAGGCATCTGGTAGTTTAACCATTATATTATATATGATTTTTGTTGTTTCTCCCACCAGATGCTTCCAATCTGCCTTCCATGCATTGGATTTTAACTACCTTTGCTCTATTTTTAACTGTAATAACTGTAGAAAATAAGATTTTTTTTATATAATATTTGTGTGTGTGTGTGTGTGTATACACAGAGTTCAGATGCAAAAGCCTCTAAGTGCCGTTTAAAATTTTCTTCTAAAATGAGCATTTTTATCAGGCTTCTGTGTGTAGGTTCAGTAATTTCACTTCATTGGCAATGAATAGGTTCAAGAGTTAATTTCTGATTAAATGATTTACTCTTGAAGGCGATGCCAGCGTTGTTGACGAGCACGTCGAGGCCGCAGTACTTCTCTGTGAAGAAGTCCCGCGCGGAGCGGACGCTGTCGGGGTCGTCGATGTCCAGCCGGTGAAAGAGCGGTGCCAGCCCCTCCTTCCTCAGACTGTCCACAGCAGCGGTCCCTCGACCGACATCCCGAGCTGTCAGGTACACGTCTCCGGCGAAATCCTTGCACATTGCCCGCACGATTGCGAACCCGATGCCTTTATTTCCACCAGTGACCAGAGCTACTTTACTGCTGCTCATTGCTGCGATGTGTCTGCAGTGGAAGAGAAACTGAAAATAAGACCATATTCCGTGACATAAACAGCAGCCTAATTGATAAAATAACGAAATTAAATGCATCTGGGAAACGTATGCATGATTAAAAGAAAACTCGTACCTGTTCTACTCCGCGGTGATCAATTCACTTTTGTTTAGTTTTTTGGTGTGCGTCGCTACTGACTGCGCATGCGCGGAGGAATACGCTTGTATAAAGGATTGCTGTTCGATGTCTATATCATGTGCATTAAGTTTTGCTCGCTGATATAGCAACAGTTATGAGCTGTAAATCTTTTTTTTTTTTTACGAAAATATTTATTTTAATTTTCTGTACATTCGAAGACAGTGACGTAACGACGCCTGAAGCACGTGATCCGGCTGTGTTTTTGACCATGTGGATGTGTATTTTGTTTCTAACTACTGCGGTATAGAATGACATTACACCCGATATAAGCTTTAGGTAGTGCCGTTATATGGAAACTTTAAGATGAATAAACCTGGCTGCCGCGCTGGGAGAAGAGCGAGGAAAAAAAGACGGAAAAAACACGAGGATGTATACAAAGGTAGCTAGCTATTCAGTTTCTATGCTGATACATTGTAGTATAGTATATGAAGTTTAAGTGAATGTTTTATTTGTATTTTACTGCTGTAGTGACTCTGACTCACGAAGCTCAGTTTGTTCTTTTGAGG